TTACAATTGGTATCAGAGCCCGCTTACAGCCACTCGTACCAGAGCCATGTCGAGATTCGAATGGATCTCAATCAAGGCACTTACACTAGCTCTTAAGATGAAGTTGGAACCTTCCGGAAACACTCGCCGACCGAGGATAGAGAGGAGTCCAGTACTAATCGAACCAAGAATAGCAGAAATCGAGTTCGAAGAGTGGTTGGAACAACCTGCGTTCCCCATTGAGCTCGAGCAAGGTGGAACCACGCCACGTGTGGTAGTGGCGAGGATGAAGGACGACGTCAAGGAGAAGGAAAGGCAGCCAGTCGAGAAAACTCAGACTCAGGCGACCACTGCGGCAGTCATCTCAACGCGACTCAACCCTCACCACCGCTGTCTGCTGTCATGGAAATCATCCCATCAATTGAAGTCGTTCCTGTTTCGGTGGAAACCTCAAATGGAGGAGCAGCGATAGAGACTCTCACTGTGGCAAGAGTGCAAAAGATCGTCGCCGCCAAGATTCTCCCAGCTCCCGGCAATCTAAACGTGGCTCCTGATGACTCGATATTACGCTAGGTTGTGTTCCTTTGTCACATTTCAGGTCCTAGCACATAAAGTGAAGCATAGGCGCAAGTTTCAAGTCAATCAGAGATCAATTGGCGATTAGGGAGAAGAAACTCGGGCATGACCTGAAGAAGAATGAATTTATACCTCAATTTATGGACAAAGAATCATGAAATCTTGTCATGAAAAGAAATAGGACAAGACTACGAGCGTCTGGGATCAAACGGCAACTGATTCGGAGTCCGGACGAGGGAGAAACGAAGCATTGAATATAGGGGAACAGGTTCGGCAGTAAAAACACGGGCGCGCCTAAATCAAAACACGGCCGTGCCCATATTTAGGCACGACCGTGTGTTGGCTGACGCGCGCGAGCGTGTTTTTAACACGGGGAAAAACACGGGCGGTCAAAAGCAAAGCACGGCCGTGCCCTCGACCGTGTTTTGCCCAGAATCAGGTTTTTTAACGCAAGCCCGGACTTGAAGACTGATCATCTGAAGATTCTTACTGCAGTCTCTCTCTGGAGCAATCAAGGTGGAGAAGACTATGGATTCGGGTTCCAGTACCAACCCCCTTACTACGGAGAACAACCGGACCCCTGGGCATATCAAGAACAACCTCATTACCAAGAAGAATTTCTCCCACAACCAGAAGGGTCATTGGAGCTGGAGTTACCCATGGCGGCCTTCACGGGCCATTCTGCAGAGCCATGCTACACTCCACAGCCAGATCCACACTATGATTTGAGGCTTCTCATGGAGAGATCATGCTCCAGTATGGATCATTGTGTCCAGGCCTATCGTGAAACAGAGGGTATCCTCCTGAGCCTTAAGAAGAGCGTCGATGATCTTGAGCGATCTTGGGCACAACCTGCTCCAGATCACCCTTCTGCTGCCATACTAGAAGAGGAGGAGGAAGAAGAAGGCGACAAGGACATTATGGAACACACAGAAGTTGTCACGGAGAGCTCCCGTGATGGTCATGATCAAGAGTGTCATGTCGTAGCCGACCACACCTTCCCACACCCCAAACTGAGCTTTGAAGAGGCGGGCATGAGTGCGGAGATGCAAGAAGATCTCATGAAAGAAATTGCTTGGCAACTTGCTCTCCAATCCGTGCTAGAAGAAGAAGAGCAACAAAGGGTGCAGAAAGAAGTTGTGGAGGATGACGAAAGTGAAGCAGGAGGAGTTCTTGATCATTTCCCAGGGGTGATACCACATGAAGTAGAAAGGGGGGTTGAAGAAGCAATTGGCGTCCAGGCTGAGGACGGAGTTAAGGTGGAAGAGGCCTGCACTGGCCATGAGTTACATGTGATATCTCCACCAAACTTCGAGGAACTGCTTAGCAAGGACCCATTTGCAGTGTCTCTTTGCCAGACCAAGGCCACCTCGACATCGGTCCCTCTTGGTGGACGCGATGGTGGCCAATCGATGTTGTCATATCTGGTTTGGGGCAATGAGACGAGAGAAGAGAAGAAGAGGTCTCGAGGGTGGAGACTTCATCTGCATCAAGTACATGAGCCTTCATCACCTGCCACACCACATGCTCATGACTTGAGACTCCACCTCATCGACGAGAACCTCAACGTCAAGGAGGTTCTGGCATGGACCAAAACTTAGGAGCCATCGTCCGGCTCACGACGTGAAAGAAGCGCTTGTTGGGAGGCAACCCAACCAGTCGGTTTGCATTTCTTTCTCTATTTCTCTTCGGTTGAGTCAGTTTTGTTCTTTGATTTCAGAGTCAATAATTCAACCTTTGTGAGATTTTGTGTGGTGTTTGTGTTTCGACTACTTTGTCCTCCTGGAATGCACCGCCTTCCCCGTTCACAATCATTCACCGTTGATATGGTAACTTCGTTCTACCCTCCTTATCTTTCCTCCATTGAGGACAATGTCGTGCTTAAGTGTGGGGGGATGTTCGATTATGTATGTGTGTGAATGTTTGACTGTTTGTGTGCTTGGAGCCTAGTCCACTGTCCAAATTTCGATTTGAGGGCTCCAAGTACGTGTTCCTTGCAATTGCCTGCTCAGTATGCTTTGAATTGACAGTCTTTATAGTAATATGCAACCTAGGGAGGTAGTGTAGCACTATGGAGGATGTTGATGCATTTAAGATGTCTCATTTCTTCTTCATATTGTGTTGGTTGATTGAGTGAATTAGTGATCTTAGGACCCCTGAATTGTGTGGTGTTGTGGACTCTCTACCTGTCATGGACTCTTGTTTCATGTTTTGAGTTTAACAAGTGCTCGAAAATGTGCTTTAAAATAACGTCTCCCGTGCGAATAGGGCGAAAGTGTGTAAGGGGAGACGGGAATTCGTTCCCAATTTTCACCTACTACCTCCAGCCCCCTTACATGTCTTTCCCCCGCACGAGGCTCGAGACACCCGCTCCTGGCATGGCCGGTAAGAGCCGGGCTCCCGCAAAACCTCTGCTAGGTGGGAGCCCCCATTTTCTGAAAAGCAGGTTGGGACCCTTAAAAAAAAAAAGGAAAAATAACAGAAAACAAGCAAAACAGAAAGAAAAGGGGTTCCAACCGTCTTCAAAAAGAAAATAAGAGCACCTTGAAAAATGTGAGTCCATGATTTTTTTTAGAGTCTCTTTGTCCACGATTCATTTGTCCTCTGTTCACTATTTGCCATGATGCCGACTCGAGACTAGCGTTCTCGCCGAAGAAGCTATGAGATGACTTGTGCGCCGGTTGACATCGTCAGCTGCTAAATAATCTAGAAAATTCTCTATCAACGATCGAGGGTGCATGTTGCTATAGAGGTCTGGAGAGCTGCATTGGTTTGAGTTAGGTTTGCTTGGGGACAAGCAAACGGTTAAGTGTGGGGGGATTTGATGACTCGATATTTGCACATGTTTTCCCCTTTGTTTCTTGATTGTTTGAGCTTTAATTATTGCGTCTTTGGCCTATTTTACGCTAGGTTGTGTTCCTTTGTCACATTTCAGGTCCTAGCACAAAAAGTGAAGCATAGGCGCAAGTTTCAAGTCAATCAGAGATCAATTGGCGATTAGGGAGAAGAAACTCGGGCATGACCTGAAGAAGAATGAATTACTACCTCAATTTATGGACAAAGAATCATGAAAGCTTGTCATGAAAAGAAAGAGGACAAGACTACGAGCGTCTGGGATCAAACGGCGACTGATTCGGAGTCCGGATGAGGGAGAAACGAAGCATTGAATATAGGGGAACAGGTTCGGCAGTAAAAACACGGGCGCGCCTAAATCAAAACACGGCCGTGCCCATATTTAGGCACGACCGTGTTTTGGCCGACGCGCGCGAGCGTGTTTTTAACACGGGGCAAAACACGGGCGGTCAAAAGCAAAGCACGGTCGTCCCCTCGACCGTGTTTTGCCCAGAATCAGGTTTTTTAACGCAAATTCGAGCCAAAGGAGAAGGAGAGCTGGGTTTTGGATCCCAAACACCCAAGGGACGAACCAAAGAGAGAGAGGGCGATTTGAGGGCATTCTTGGAGTGGAATTGGAGGATTTCTTCCCCTTGAAAGCTCGAGGAACAAGCCCGGACTTGAAGACTGATCATCTGAAGATTCTTACTACAGTCTCTCTCTTCTCTATGGAGTAACTTCCCTTCACTTAGGTTTTGAAGAACCCTAGCTATGTTTGTTTGATTGGATGATTGTATGAGTAATCTGACTTGATAATCTTGAGTTCATATTCAATGTATGCATGTTTTCATGATTCAATTCTGCTTTAGTCGAGATTATTGATTCTGCTTTGATCCTATGAGAGGGAATACCTGATTAGGTCAATAGAGCACCATAGATTGATAGTAGTGGATCGATTGCTTTAGTCGAGGGTTGATTCACTGCTTTGTATCGATTGAGAACCTCTTTCGATAGAGGGAGTCTAGTTCAGAACGCCTTGATCAGTTGTTCTAGAGAAGGATACGTCCCTCTAGGCAATTGACTCAAGAGGGCCTTGTTCCTTTAGTCGAGACTCAAGGTCTAGTCAAGGATTCTCCGCATTGTGAATGAAAGTGAAACAAGTTGGAAATCATCATTGTTTGTCTGGCTAGTGGCTAGGGGGAATCATACCTAAGTGAGTTCCCAACCTGTAATTAGATTAACTTTAACTGTAGTTTGCTAGAGTAGTTTTAGTTCTTTCATCTTAATCTGGTTTACTAAATAATAAACTGAAGCTGAGTAATAGTAACTCTAGAGACCCGTGGATTCGATATTTATCACTTGAGCCACTATACTGCAGTTCCTTCCATTGGTTACACTTGGCCATTGTTAGGTGTTGTGTCATAGCGAGTCAGCTCCCGAGCCGTCAGAACTTCGAGGAAGCGGGTCGATGAAGGTTGAAGACACAGTGAGGAGATCAATGCCAAATCGCGTTGGGAATTGGTGATTCCGGAAGAAAGAGGAGGGCGTGGCGACGAGAGGGTTTGAAACCCTATTCCTGCCGCAGCCTACCAATGACGCAGCTCCTATCCTCGGCTCGTCATCGCCACCAACCTTGACAACCGACGCGAGCTATACCCACAGGAGCACAGATGGAATTTTGAGTGAACTCCGCAGCGAGAAAGACCAACAAGGGCCGGTGGCTCCAGCTGTGGCGGCGCTCTACATTGAAGAGGAGAAGACGAACGACCTGCCATTAAAGAAGACGAGGTCGGAAATGGGCGAATCTCGCCACCGACAAGCTCCGTTTGCGAAAAAAGGAGAGGCCGGCGAATCTCTCTCTCTTCCTCTATTGCGAGCGAGCCCCAGCCGCAGTGGAAGACGAAGTCGCCGAAGAAGCAAGCGTCAAAAAAGGTGTTGATGCCGTCGAAGGATGAGACCAGATCTGACGGGGAAGCGAAACTCAGCAACCGCGATGAGACAGATCTGGCGACGGTGGAAGGTTCGTCGAAGAGAAAGACGCTGGAGAAGGAGTGCTTTGCTGGCGGCGTTCAACGCCGAGAAGCCGAGTCGGAGACACGGCCGGACTTGCACAGCTCGGTGTGTGGTCTGCTGGGTGGGTCGCCGTACCCTCGGCTTGGTGTAACTCCGCCGAGAAAGGAGACTACCGATTACGAGTCGCAGTCCGCTGAGAAGCTGGCAATGAGGACGGAGAAGCTGTCGGTGGGGAAGGAGTTGAGGACGACGGCAGGTTTGGGGAGGCCGTCGTGCCGTCGGCGGAATAACGCACCACCAGAGAAAGAATCAAAGAGGAAGAAGGTTGGCGGCCGCGTCTCTTCCTCTGCAACTCTAGGTCACCCCAACCAGCTGCTAGAATCCTTGGGCCGCAGGTCTGATCGGGTCGCTGGGCCGGACTGGTCGCATGGGCTCGTGGGTGTTTCATTGGGCCATGTGCAGTTGAGCCGAGTAGAGAGGCACTGTTGGGCTGGTCAGAGGTGGAACAACAATAGCCTCGAGTTGGGCCAGATGCTTTAGCAGAGCGGGCCATGTCTTGAGACTAATTGGACTGAGGAAGAGACTGGTTACGGCCGAGCGAGCCCAACGGGTTTGATAGAGAAGTTAGATTGCGTTTAGGAAGTCCTTTGAAGAATGAAGGATGGGAGGAAAAGGAAGAGTGGGTTCTTAATCTTACCCTGGCATATGGGCATACAAGGGAATCAAGCCCAAAAGAATGAAGGAGGGGAACACAAAGAGGCTTGATAATGATTTGGGCCACACCTCTTTCTTCAAATCAAATGAAGGCCTAGTCCAAGGTGAAAGAAAGTTGGAGAAAATTTATGGGTTGTTTTCACCACCAACCCAATGGAGCAATTTAGGTATTTTTTCCTTCCAAGCCTCAAGTTGGAGTACAAGAAAGAACAATTCTCCAATTCTTATTTTGTGGATTTTGAAAAGGAAGAGGAAGAATCGTTCGTTTATGGGAAACGTGACGTGTGTCACGAAATTCAAGAAGAGTTGAAGAGTATTGGAGTTGAAGAAGTCATTCGTGAGTTGGAACGCAATTGGAAACGAAGAAAGCGGAAGGTCAAGGAGGTAGAAGTCAACTACAACCTTGAGGTCAAAGTTGTTTTCAAGGGGATGGATTGTCAAAAGCACATTTATTTGGGGTTTCTATTATTATATTAGGTAGGATAATTATAATTATGGCTAGTAGAGATTTAGTCGTATTAGGACTATTATTAGGGTTTTCCTGTATTTCTCTATAAATATGTACTTTGGGTTTACGTCATGAGGAGTAAAGAAAAATATTCAGAAGAATCTCCTAAACCCAAGTTTATCCTCTCAACTCCTAATTTCTATTCTCTCCTAATCTAAGGCCTCGGCCGATTCCCAATTCTATTATGTTCTTCTCATCTAAATCCCTAATTCCTTATCTTAATCCCTAAATCCCTATTCGTAACGAGTAATCGCGAGTGCCGAAGATCAGTCCCGAGAGACCCTAGAAGCGGGTTTCTAACAGTGAGTCGATCTGAGGCTAGTTTATTTGTTAGCAAAAAGAAATAGATTGTGATCTTTTGATTGCCATGGAGTAAAGTGAATTTTGATAAGGTATTACACTCATGGAGAATAATTTGAAACTAACATTGGAAAGTGGTGACCTACTAGAGAACCGATCCTTATATTGGGGAATTGTAGATCGTTTAGTCTACCGATCCTCATACTCATCCAGAGTAAAGTGAATTTTAATAAGGTCTTATACTCATGGAGCATAATTTGAAACTAACATTGGAAAGTGGTGACCTACTAGAGAACTGATCCTTATATTGGAGCATTGTAAATAGTTTAATCTACCTAACTCATACTCGTCCAGATATTGCGTATGCAGTGCAAGTTGTAAGTTAGTTCATGGGAGCAACACGTACTACACACCTTGATTTTGTACATAGACTACTTCGCTATTTGAAGCACACGGCTGAGGTGGGTATTTTCTTCCCCATTGATGGAAGATGGGTGATTAAGGCCTCTACAGTTGCAGATAATGCAGGTTTCTGAGATACCAGAAGGTCAACTTTCGGTCGGTTGGTACGTTTTGGTCAATTTTTTGTATCATAATGGAGTCGTAAGCAAGATAAAGTTTCTAAGTCATCTACATAAGCAAAATATTGGTCGATGTCTATAGTTAGTTCCAATATGGTAGGGCTGCAAATGTTGTCTTTTGAGTTGGGAGTTGTATGTGAGACTCATATGAGAATCTATGGGGACAATACAAGTGCTATACTGATAGAATTATATGTTACATGATCGTACAAAGCAAATATTAGACAACCAGTAGCAGAGTGAACAATTCAGCTTAATAACTATCTTTCCATAGAGGAGTAGACTGCATACGTGTTCACAAAGATTGTTGTCTCTAGTAGACATTGACATTCAGATCTCATAATCAATTTGAGGGAGAGTTCAAATACCAATATGTAACTGTATAATGAGCAAACCCTTATATATATTTGGTTGTATACGAAGGAAGTTAAGAAATCAGAAAATTATAAAATTTGAAAGAAATTTTTTTTTATGGACTAGTGTCAATATTGACGATATCAAATTGAAAAAATGGTGTGTTATTTCTTTTGGTTCTGTGACTGAAAAAAAAAATCTAGTGTCTTCTTGTTTCCGAACTTTGAAATGAGTTACCAAATAATGACACTCACTTTTCAATTCTACGCTATCAAAGAAAGTACACGTACCTATACCCTTCATATGCATCCCTTCCCTCATAATAATAATAAACACCCAAGCGGCTGAGGCAGTATAACTCCGCCACCTCCATGTGGATGCACAGACGAAGCTTAGAAACAGAAAGAAAAAAGTAGTCCTTGCCACCCCTTTGTCTACCAAAACTGAACCAAACACTCTTTTTGGGGAGATTGCGTCTTGTTTTCAAGCCTCCCACTTGCAACAAATCGACAAAAAGGAAAAGAGAGCAGACCAGATATATTTGCTGTCCGGATAATAATAATTATATTACAACATAATAATTCACCACACTCAGAATGTTTACATGACACATACCAACTTGTCAAGAAATTACAACTCCCAGACACACAATTATATGCATATATGTGCCGACCAAACCCCACGGACGCATATAATATGCACATAAACAACCAACTCAATCGTCACCGTCACAAGTTCTCATCATCGCATGCACATAAAACCCTTTCTCATCAACAACCAAAACTGGCAAATCCGGTCTCCCTTTTCCCCGGCCATATCATCCAAACCCTAAACCAACATAGAAACAAACTAGCCGGTATGTCTCCGGTAGTAACCATTATGACAAAACAAGGTTTGTCCAATAATATTCACCGATTCGACATAGTCTTGAACAAATTAAATACATTGTAACCTCCATGGCTACAACATATTTTTACCTAATTCATCTTTCATAATGATACACATCTAAGTCCTTAGCGTCCTAAATACGGTTCCTCACGTGTACCAACGGATACCCATGTATTGATTTTATTATAGTACTCTCGACGAAACCTAGCAAATTCCCCGATACGTTTTATGGCAACACCCAACGTTTCTTCCGAAATATTGGCGAAACAAACTCTGAACCAGCCCGGCTCCGAGCAATGGAACGAAGACCCCGGCGAGATATTCACACCGACCTCGAACAACATCTCCTTCCACAGCTCCTTCTCGGCTTCGAAACTCGGCTCTCTCAACAGCTTCCTCATGTCCACCCAACAGAACAACCCGGCGTTGCTCCTCAGGCAACCGATTCCAGCCATGCCGAACCCCGACACCATCTCGTCCTTCCTCTTCCCCAGCCGCCTCCGGTTCTTGTCCATGTACCGCGCCCTCATGTCTTTGTCCGACAGCATCTTCGACAGCAGATGCTGCGTCTGCGACGAGACGAGGCCGAAGCTCGACATCTTGGTGGCTGCTGCCACCACCTCCTCGTCGTTTGAGTAGATCGCCCCGACGCGGAAGCCAGGGAGGCCCAGGTCCTTGGAAAGGCTGTACACGATGTGGACGCGCTTGCTTGCGACCCAAGCTTCCGCGATGCTGGTGAAGTCTGGGCTGTCGAAGACCGTTCCGGAGTAGATCTCGTCGCTGACGACGTGGATTCCCTTAGGCACAGCGAAGTCGATGAGTCGGTCGAGCTCGCCTCGGGTTAACGTGGTGCCTAGAGGGTTCGACGGGTTGGTGACCAGGATCCCTTTCACGTTGAGTTTCAGCTCCTTGGTGGCTCGCTCGTAGGCTTGCTCGAGCGACGGTGTCGTGATTTCGAAGTTGTTTGCACTTGAGCTGTGTATTGGGACTATTTCCACTTCCGTTCGCCACTTTAGGTCCCGGTCGAACCTGAGCAAACAACACAAAAATAAATAAATAAAATGTGTCGAGCACCATTATACATTACCACGTACTATATATGTCAAACATGTGGAATGTTAATTAAATAAAATATATATATACCCTGGATAATATGGGGTAGGGAGCAAGAAAGCGTCGCCAGGATCGGCGAGACAGAAAATGAGAGTTTCGTTGGCGGAAGTTGCACCGGCGGTGAGGACAAGGTTGTCGGGGTCGAAGTTGACCTTGTTTCCTCTGATTTCAGACATGAAGTCCGCTAATGCCTGCCGACAAAGTAGACGTATGTACGCTGATTAGTTTATTAGAGAATTAACTAATTGCATTTAAGGAGACAATGGTACACATAATGATTTTAATAAAGTAATAAACGTGATTAATTAAAAGGGCGTCGAGGTGCATGAGGGGATTAATTAGTTTAGTATAGTATACGTTTTTGAAAGAAGGCAGGCCATGATAGTCTTGGAAGAGAGCCAAGTCTTGGAAGATAGATTGTCCTTGATCGGTCGTCAGCGTCAGTGCCTCCGGATTGTTGGCTATCCAAGACTCCAGCTGGTCAAACGACAGCTGCCACCCCACAACGAAGGAAAAACAAACCCAATGTCAAAAAAATATACCATACTAAATAAATACATGTCTGTCGACTATATCATAAAAGGCTGTACGTGCGTTTAGAAATTAAAAGAGTAATCAAATGCTGTGATTAATGGGGCACGTTTCACATCTCCTTTTAATTGCGGCAGCATGCAGCGTGAAAAAAGGAGATTTTGTGGGCTGCCGCTGCCTAACCCAATTACGTTTACAAAAATGAGAAACGATATGGTTCTGTTTCGAGCATTCAAACACAATCAATTTAATCTTCAAGTTAATTAGGTTAATAGTGCTTAACTAGGGGGAGAAAATGTTACGAAATAACGTAACTACATCTGACTAAGGAAAAACCAGGAGCTCTTCTGTCTATATGGATAAGTGGGACATCATGACTTTTTGGGACATCAAGAAATACGGACACTACTTTTTGTACAAAATTTGTTCACCTTTCTCAGTTTCATGAAAATGATACACACCTTGATAAAAGAGTAAGTTACTTCTTTCTTAGGTGTGAAATAATAACGATCGAGCCAAATTTTTATATTAGCATCTACGAGAGGATGAATTTAAAAAAAATGTACTTATTAAGATGGCGTAAAAGAAAAATCGCTCTACCAATCATGTACCTGATTCTCGGCGAGGCCGAGCTGAATGATACCAGACGGGTTGTGGAGAGGGTGGTAAGGGTTTTTCTCGTACTCTTGCCACCCGGCGAAATATGAAGATTCCTGGCCGTGACACTCCCTGGCTCTCCTCGATAGCATTTTTCTATATACACACAGACCCAGCTAATTGATTGATTAAGTGCCACAGAGAGAGAAGAGAGAGAGAGATGAAAAGAGAAA